AACCTCTTCAGACGCTGAACGGGTGCATTTAAATTTAGATAAATTATTCTGTTTGGGATTTCACTAAGCATTTCCCTTTTTGAATATTAACTATCTCGAATTTATTTTAGAGACAAATGTGAGAAGGAGGAAGTCAGACAGCCTGTGTTAATATGCTGACTTCCTTGTGGCGCACATGACATCCTTTAAATCTGTTTGATGGTTGAAGTTGCAGTCTGAGCTGTGGAAGGATGGAAGAGCTGTGACAGTACAGGGCAAAGACTTGAGAACAATATTCTGTAATAAGCTTTTCAAATCTTGAAGACACTGATACATGTTGTCATATTGGAGCACAACTGACTCATTTTAAGTCTAAGAATAAGACTCAAGGACCCAAAAGCAGAACTGTGTGGGTCTAATGAGCCTCGGGGCTTCACAGTCAATAAAAACCTGTGTGCTCTCGGTGGCACACGTGCTGTGTTTAATGCACAATATCATGCCTTTAAATGTCACTGGACAAATGAATCATTATTTGCAACACAGTTTGCTGAAGGATTTTCTTCCCCAGTGACTCTGGTAGGCTGTTAATTATATTGTTCTCAGAGTATTTTTTTTTAAATGTTAGCAGCACGTGTGCAAGAAAGAGCTAATATTTAAACATGATTCATTCTAAAAGCCTATTACTGTAAAGTACCTCAGGGTAGTGTGTGTGCTGTAATATATTTCATCATGTTAATGCGTGATTGCAAAAGTTTGTTGTGCAAAATAATTTATTCTGCTGGAAAGACAAATAATTTAGATGAATTCATTGAAATTCACCAAAGCAGCTTGTGTTTGCGATTCATCAACAATGTAAACCTGAAACTGAAAGGCCGACTTTCTTTCTTTTCTCACAAGCTGTTTACACCCCTCTCCGGCCCCTCCGCGTCACAGCATAACAAATACAGCCCGTCATGTTTTCCAGGAATTCTTGAAAATTTTAAGTCAGAAAGCGCAACGGCTCGTTTACATCGCTGACGAATAACGTAAACTTCAAAATGGCGAAGTCCTTCAGAAGGGTTTGTTGACACCGTAGAGGTTGCTCTGCAGCTGCCGACTGTTTGGCGAGCTGCATGTGGGAATAAATACTGTACTTTGCAACCACACGGAGCTGTGTCATTGCACATGTTGGAGTTTTACTGTGATTCACCCGGGAATATCAACACAACGCACAGTCAGAGTTGGCACAGTCATTGTTGCAGACTGACTGAGGATGATGTTTGGAGCCCAGAGGAAAAGGAAAATGCTAAAGCTGAGACGTGAAGAACTCAGAGCTGTCACATATTGCCACCTGGTGGTGTGGATACTTCAAGAAATGAACTTTCTCAGGCTGTTTATTTAAAGTAAATAGTGAATTGTGGTGATTCTACTACTTCCTGTTGAATTCTGGAAGTTTAAGTTTAAGCTTTTACTTTATTTAGCAACTGCCTGATTCAGTTTTGTGCTGACAGTGTTCTTTACGTGTTCAACAGATATTCAGAAAAGATATTCAGAAAACTTCCCTTTCTGTTATTGAACCTGCTCATTAACATTTTTATTAGCTGTACACATACACAACACATTTGATATCTATTATTATCCAGCCTTAACGTGCACAAAGAGAATATTCTCGTACTGAAAAGTCCTCACAGCAATGATCTTCAGCACAACGTGATTCAGTTTCCACCTCCTTCATTCATGTTCTGACACCATCAACAACGATTACAGAGAATACTAAACGGTTTCGAGATTTACACTTCGCTCGGCGTGATTTCCTCCCAAAATTGAATTCACGATCAGTTAATATGTGGCTGATGTGTCCATTTGAATCTGTGGCACATCAGCTGAGTGGGCAGTTTGCTGGACAATTGCTAAAGCGGTGTAGGTGTGTGTGCCAGTGTTAATCAGCAGCATCCGTTTTTAACACTGCAACAATGGATTGTTACCCTCTGTCACCCGCCTCTCCCTCATCTACGTCACAGGATAACTTGTTGACCTGGCAGCCATTAGGTAAAGGCCCACATCTTCCTGACTGCATTGTTCAATAAAAGTGGGCTCTACACGGGCTTTCAAACGATCGCAGTAATCACACATTTGCCACAGAGGGAAGAGAGACAGATAATGATGGCCACTTTCATTTTTCTCTGCTTGCTATAATCATGCAAACATGGCCACCTGTGGACAAGGCAACAAACAGCAAAAGGGTTCTAGTTGTGGAGCAAGAGAAGAAGAACCAGTGTTTTCTTTGGAGCAGCAACTAAGAAGTCTGTGCAGCATATACAGAAAATGTTGTTTAACTTTATCTGGTCCAACTTCTCATGACCCACCTCGGCTCAGCTAACGAACAGATGTGGCCGGCAGAGAGTTGCACCTCTGAACTGTCTGAAAACAGTGACTCATTTGTTTGCAGAGTCCTCCAAACGAAGCCCACACAGCTCTACCTACGTACGCCTCATGGAGGATTCTGTTTTCCAAACATAGAGGTGTTTACTTGCTGAAGAAGTTTTAAAAATAATGAGTCCAATGACGAACTAAATAGTGTATGTAAACAGCAATTTGTGACTCTTTTGTTTGATTGTAAAGTTTGACACCCACCACTTGTAGTCAGCATTTATGATACGCTGGTTACATGTGCCGCTTGTTCTACGTCACAGGATTAAGATCTGTTTATACGAGAGAAGTTTACGTATTAAACAGCAACACTTGCAGTGTTTGGATGTGAAGCTATATTTGGTATTGACCAAAATGTTTATTTTAGGGCTGAGATCAACCGATTCTTCATCAAAGAGATTATTAAGATGATATTTGGAGCTGATATTTGCAATAAAATTTAAAATGTTGGTATCAAAATTTTGGATAACATAAAGTCCAACACAAAACTTGGTCAATATGCCATTTTCAATTATGTTATGCATATGTTTGAGTGAAAAATAACTTTAAAATTCATCCATCAGTGTTGATACGCTGTTACTAGTGACATGTAACCTGCAGAGAGAGAAAAATATCACAATATTAATGCATTAATTTTTACCTAGAATCTTTTTTTCAAGAAAAAAACAAACAAACAATACAGAAAATTGGAAAAATGCTGAGAATTGTAACTGATAATGGGCCTGGCTGATGATTGGTGAATCCCTCATTTATCTGTGCCAGTGTACATATAAGGTTTTTAATGAAAAAAAGCAAGAGCAAAGCTTCTACAACACCAATGCTGAGAACCAAGCACAATCAAACAGTAAATCTGCACTTCTAATGTGAATATTGCATCATAAAGTCACAAAAATAATGCATAATTTCTATTAGACCTCCACTGTGGCAGAGACTCTTCTAGCATACATGACTCACTGTAGTTTCTGCACATACAAATTGCACAAACTATAATAAAAAACCTTTTCTCGGCACATCACACCAAACATATAATTCACACAACAGGTTCACAACAAATGTCATCTGTTGACATGGCAAAACCACATGGATGACTTTGTGTTGTGCTACAGGAAGGACACCCACCTCCTGTCCTAGATCTGACCAGGCCAGGAAGCAGTTTATCTCTGACGTGCTGTGTACAAACATCTGTAAAGTTTCTAACGGCAACAGCTGGTACAAGTCTCACCTTGATCTTGTAGGCTCTCTAACCTGTGATACTACGTAGCCCGATATGCACAATCAAACACATGAACAGCAACAGACGATAAAGGAAAATTGTGTGTTTGCTATGCAGAGTGCCAAACAGTGGTACCTTTGGATATCTGCCTAATAAATCTGGGTTTGGGTCAATCTATATCCCAGCCAGCCCAAACAGCGGCCTGCTTTTACATGTGACCATGTAATCAAATGTGGCGGAAAGTTTCACAGCCATCCAAAACAGGAAAAGAGGAAAGAGTGGGAAAGATAGAGTGAATCTAGTGTGACTAGAGTAGCTGTATGTTGTACGTTTGCCCCCTGGTGGCCTGTGTAATCAAAAAAAGAAAAATAAATGTTTGCTTTTAGAGTAGATTTCTGAAAAAGATTACCCGCACACAACAGTGTGAGTAGTTCATCAAAATCATCAAGGGGGAGTTCACATTGGGTTAACGTGGCCCACAGATAGAGATAATTACCACGGCTTTTCAGGGAAATTAAATAAAATGTAGTTAAACCTCGTCTCTGAATATAAAACTAGGTCACAAAATTATTAATTTCATATTTAAAATGCAGGATTAGTTGCTGTTTTGATGTTTAGGTCAAACAGTTTTCGCTGGGGTTGATAAAAGTGGACATTTTAATAAATATAAGATAGCTCTAATAGGAATTTGATTTAAAAATTAACAACAATAAGAAAAAAACTGTTGTTTTATGCTTACCGTGATTATAACTTTCTGATTTGTGTCAGGTTGGTGTGAAATGACAACACATTGACAGAAATTTATTTTTTGATTTGAAAATTCTGAGATTCTTTAATAATAATAAAAAAAAGACAAGCTATGATAGTGGTGGCATTTTTTTTATTATTTGTATTGTAGTAGTAGCATATATAGGTCATATAAAAAATAATAATAGTAATAATAAAAATGACAACAACAGTGATTGAGCAAATGATAGTGTGGAAAAAAACATCCAGTTATTTCTATTTGAAGGCACAGTGAATGGTTCTTGCCGGCATATAGCGTCAAAAAGCGGATAACTGAGCTTTATGATGCCATGGCACCGCTTTACGGTATTAAGAGGAGCAGGAAATCAGCTGGGATATACCGAGAAGCCTCTAGGAATATTCTAGCAAACTGTCTTTGTGTGACATATCAACAGGGTCAACGTATGTTTTGGATACGTATCGCCGATTTGAATTATATTTATTTTTTGTTTTTTTTTCACCTTTTACACCGTGGAAACACCGTTTTATAAATGATTACCGTTAGTCTGACCAGTGGTTGGTTTGAACGGCGTCACGACTAGAACGGTCACCTGGATCTCTGATTGGCTCAGAGCGCTGATCCGGGTACTGCGCTAGAACGAGCCCATTAGCTAAAGGTACCAATATGGCGGAGGTAAGAGGGAAAACAGGGGAGAAGCAATCGATCTTAAATCGATATTTTTAAAATTTGTGCCTTGTATTTTTCATTTTTATGCTATCGATTGAAGAAAGAGTGGTTTTTGCCGTCCGTGTAGCGTGTCTCGTGCCATAATTGTCATTTTTATTCCTCTAAAATATGCTTGAATGTCGGGACTGATCCTTCACTACGAGGCCTCTGCGCCTTCGCTCTCTCTCAGCTGCTTTGGTGTAGCGGCTGTGTAAATTGATACGTAAATTTAACGTTAGCTTGCTGGTTAAAGGAAATAACAGATTATACCGTGTTTGTGATGAATGGAAATGTACTTTTTTCTATTTGGGATAAATTAGCGGCAGCCGTGTTTGAAAGAGCACCCGGCTCTATCGATTGCGGCGCCGCACGAACGAAATTAGTGTTTACATTTTTCGGTGCATAACGTTAACGTTCGGCTTTTGGGTTAGCTTGCTGGCTAGCTAACTGTTACAGGAGCCGACAGTGCATAAAACGTACTGTCTACTTTCACACACGTCTGTTTTTTATTTAATATTTTTTATTTTACTGTGTTCGCCTTCGAAAACACATTTATTCCTGTGGTGAACGCTCAAACGGGTACACTGTTGTCCTCGGTGTTTATCGCGGCTAGCGTTGTGCTAGCCACCTATGTCAGGTAACGTTAGCGGCGGACGCAGCTTTTCTACCAAACTGTTGACAGTGGTCATGTTACAGCCCCGTACTGCCGCTTTTTCTCAGTCGAAGTATATATTACCGGAGTAATAGACGAACCCGTGTTTTAATTATTGCACTAATTTATGCTCTGGTTTCTTCTTTTTCAGGCTTCCCTAGGGAGTTCAAGTCCAGGTAATGTAACGTCGAGTTTATGGAATATTATTAAACGATATCTGCATTTTTTTATTTTTATTTTTATTTTTTTTTAAAGAAATGATTTTGCATAACTGAAATATCAAGATGAAATTCTGTAATTTCTGTCACTTTTTCATGTTACCTGTGTATATTTTTAGAAATGTTTAATTTCTGTGTAAAAGAGTGATAACACTTAGATTTTTGCGATTTATTTATTGATTACATTTGTTTTCTCTCTTGTTCTTTTTTTATTCAGTTGGCTCTTTATCGTCAGAGGACCATGACTTTGACCCAACAGCAGAAATGTTAGTTCACGAGTATGACGATGAGAGGACTCTGGAGGAGGAAGAGTCTCTAGAAGGCGGGAGGAATTTCAGCTCTGAAATTGCAGATCTAGAAAAGGTAAACTAATTAATGTGCAAATTGCCACGAAACGGGATTTACTTGTGTAGATTTAATAAGTGCTGTGATTTTTAAATACTTTAATCTGCTTTGAGTTATTATTATGTCATGTGTGATGGTTGTTTTGAGCAAATGATTTTCATTTATGGGATTTTTTTTTTTTAAATCTAATTTGTTGTCAGGGCTCTCGCGTAAAAGGGTTTAGTTAATTCATTTTAATTAACTTTAAATGAGCGTTATGACAGATGCTGACAGGACTTTTATTGTAATAAGAGGAAGCTATTTGATTCATGACTCTAGATTTTAAAAGAAATATAGGTCAACTAATTTTAAGGTCATAAATTCTGTTAATACTATTCAAATGTCATCCTTTGGTCACAGTGAGTTACAGTATGTTGTTAACACGTTCACATTGGGTTTTAATTTGATTTTCTGGTTAAAAAAGAAAACCCGTTAAGATATCTGGCCACTCATAAATATAACACACAGTTAACTGGAGTAAGATTTGTCTAATCTAGGTTTTTTTTTGTTAATATCTGATTAAACAGGGAGTGATGTATGTTGTACTCTTTTTATTTATTTATATATATATATATGTTTTTAAATTATGATTTTATGATGATTTTTAGGAAGGGAACATGCCTTTGGAAGAACTGTTGGCCATCTACCGCTATGAGGCCTCAGCAGGCTCCAGTATAGACAGCTCCTCTGGAGACCTGACTGATGAGCTGCCCGACATGACTTTGGATAAAGTAAGTGCCATCATTTGTGTCATAGTTGTAAAACAAATGTATACATTTGCAAAAAATAATACAAAACAAAACATATAAGTTAATAGATTAATGTCAAAATATTACACAGATGCTCTGTTGATCACCTCAGGTCTTTCACAGTGTATAATACAATTTTCTTTTTTTTTCTCCTTTTTTTTTATTTTTTTTTTTTAACGTAGGAGGAAATAGCTAAAGACCTGTTGTCTGGGGACTACGAAGAGGAGACCCAGTCCTCCGCTGATGATCTGACCCCATCAGTTACCTCCCATGAGGCCACTGATTTCTTTCCAAGAACACTTCGATGTAAGTGAGATTACAAATTCTTAAAAAAAACTTGTGGTTTGTCTTTAGCTTTGCAGGATTAAAGCATGTCACATAGTGCGGTACAATACAAGTCACTAATTCTAAAGCCTGAACATTCAAATTGAAGACGCTGGGATTGAAAATAGCACATATTTTAATTGTAGATTAATCTGCTAAATATTTTCTTGAGCAGTCCAAAACTCAAACATTCACAGTTTGTGGTTTTGTGAGACCAATAGAGGAAGCAACTCTGCCCTACTTTATAGACTGGTAACATATTGATTGTCAGCTGTACATCTAGACCCATCTCAGCAGAATTAAACATTTTCAAATGTTTGCACGATTAATGAAAATTGGCAATTATTTATACTGCACTCAGTATTTTTTCTAGTTGTGCACAGAGTATTGATTGTTTTAACGACAACTTTAATCTATCCACTGTCATAGTAAAAAAAAAAATTTGACAGTCGTGCGATTTTACGTCTTTGTGTCATGAAAGTGGTTTACCATATTTTAGCTCCTACTGCAGTGCACTGTGGGCCAACGTTTCCCACAGAGCTGCATATGAAACCCACAAATGAAACCAGACAGTCAAGCTGTCTGTGTTTGAGCAGGATTACTGTGTAACTGAGAACAAGCAGATTTAAGTGGGTCAAATTGTGATGCTTTTATGTAGTTATTCACGGAAATTAGGCTAACTGTATGAATGTAGAAGCATCTTTGGGTGCTTCTACACTTGGTACTCCATACCGCACTCAATTACGTTGAGCCCAACACCTAGTATATTGAAACATGGCGTACAGCAAACCATGCCAAGGGCAGTAACGTTATAAAAGAGACTTGCCAATCAAAGAATTTTGAATAGTACTCTATGGCAGAATTCCCCAACACCGGAGATGACGATTGTATGACACATATCCCACCTCTGCCCTCAAAAAGCCAGTTGTGTTGCTGCACTGATGCAGGCATGGCGTAGTAACACTCTGCACATGCAGAGCAGTGATATAAAGTTTCTGGAAGATAGCCTTTTAAACCTCACATCACAAAGTCACAAAATGTTTAAGGGTTTGTTTTTTTTTTTGTCAGATTTGACTGGGGGCTGCTGGAATTGTAGCTATGGCTCTCTGCCCATTTGTTAAGATAGTGACTTGGTCTTGTGAGGCCGAAAAATCTACCAGTGGGCATTACCAAGATCCTGCAGAGTGGCAAGACTTGGCTTTAAGGACTTTGCCCATATTCAGTATCAGTGTTCTGGGGTGTGGTACGCATCAGATATGAAAACTAGCAGCATCAGTCACATTTTCAAATGTTAAAAAAAAAAACAAGAAAAAAAAGGATTCTTTGTCTCAGAAAGTTGCCTATGTGGGCAGATCTAAAAGCATTCTCTGGCATGACAGATGAGATTTGAGTGTCGTCCTTGCCTGTTCACGCAGAACAAAAGCAGCAGTGAAATTAAGTTGCACTCCTTTGTAAAGTTAGCCAGAGGAGCTGTGTCAATCGGATCGGACACACGTTTTTACTGTGTAGACAAGTGTTGTGTGAATGACGGCACAAGCGTGCTCGATACAGAACATTAATGTGACGTGACCACTGGCCAGCGGGGGAGTGGAGAGTTGGGGGCAATCGCATTTGACTACAGTTTAATCATAGCTAATGCAAAAATGCCCTCACAGTCTTCTGCCTGTGTGAAAACTGAGGTGCATTGTGTCATCATGGTCGAGTTGAATCATCTGGCACAAAGTTATGAACTCATTTTATTTTTGAAATCAATGTGGCTTTTGTGAATTGATTGAGAATTGTAGAAGATAAGACTTGTGATTCTTATTAGATTTTATTTTTTTCCACCCAGACCTAATTGGAGTAACATAAAATAAAGAACAGATATTCACCTTTTAAAAGAACTGGAATCATATTTGGCCTTTTTAATGTAATCATTACTTACCAAACATTACCTATTGATCGTTACTGTAGACTGCATTTCTATTTGATGAATGAATCTTTTTAAGACTATGACATATTTTGTCCGTATATATTGTGGGGATACCTTTAAACTCGACTCTGCCAGGGAGTCGGAAGTGCTTTCTGTTACAGACATAAGATTAATGAAACAAATGTACCTACCAAATTTAAATATTGTCACTAAGACCACACCAAAAAAAGCAAAAAGTAGATGCCAAACATCCCACTTCGGGATCTATACCTGCACAAGCCATAAAATCCCCCCAAAGAGCCTATAGTAAGTCCGCTCAAATAAAATAAATGTTAAAATTCTAAATTTATAAAGGAAAAATATATACAACAGATACACATTCTTAAATTTCAAATCAGATAAAACAGCTTTAAATGATCAAAAGTATTACAAAACAAATATTTATGATGTGAGCCTACCTAAGTAATATATTCATTATGGTTAAATCCTACAAAATTCGGGAACATAGACATTTACTTGTCCAAATTTAAGGCTAAAACCTTTAAGTAATATTGTTGTGTTTTCATTACTAGGTTAAACATTGTGCCTAAGCACTGAGGAGGTGTAATCCACTGCATGTCAAGGTATTTAAAGTATATTTGTTTTGTTTTGTCAGCCAACGCTATTTCTGACGGTGATAAAGAATCCGAGTGTGATGAAGACGGTCCAAGCCCAGAGGACTCCAGAAAGGTAAATAACGCATTTTATCTTTAAATGCATTAAGAGAAGGATAAAGAGTTGACTTCATGTTTTATGTTTAATCAGAGCGTGTTTGTATTTAAATATGTGTTCTCTTTTGTTTGATTTTTCGAATAGGAAATAATGGTGGGAACACAGTACCAAGCAGAGGTTCCTTCTTGCCTCTGTCACTACAAAGATGGAGAGAAAGGTGACTACTGTTGTTTTTTTTTATTTCTCGCATGCATGCCTAAAATGTTGTTTGTTGTGGCTGCCTCCAGTGTTGCTATTCATTCAATTAAAACAGGATCACGCACACAGGGTCACCAATCTTACCGCCGTGTGCTTTGATTTGCAGTGTATGAAGACGAAGATGAGTTATTATGGAGCCCAGGTATATTGTCAGAAAACAAGGTTAGGAGTTTCCTGTCTGAAGTGCTGTCACGGACAACGGATGAAAAGACAGGATGCGACAAACCAGGGATGCATGTTCGAGACAACGAGCAGGTTAGTCACGTCTTTATTCATCCGTCCTTTCATGTCCTAATACAATGATGAACGGGGCAGCAGCACCGCTTCTAAGCATGTAGGTTTTTCAGTAGCTTTCATGAGTCACATCCTATAGCAGATGAATTTCACAGATTGTTTCTATGGTACATGTGATGCATTCTGGCCAATACTGCAGTGCTTGACTGTTCCACTCTTTCCATACAGGCTTTGCATGAGCTTGTAAAATCCAACTACAACACCCGTGAAGCACTAGAGAGATATTGCAGCCATGTTAAGTCCTCAAAAGGTAAGCAAAGGCAACTGATTCCACAACTCCAGGAGGAAACTGTCGTATTTGACCAATATCACACATTGACAGCATGTTTGACTTTGAGTGCTGCCAGCCTGGACTCTGTTGCAGCTGTAATACTTCAAGTCCAAATTGGTCATCCTGGCAAACGTCAGAACAGATCATTGATACAACACAACACAACAAATGACCAAATGTGATTCTCTGGCATTGGGTGGATTTGTTGCGATAGCCAGATGATTCATAATTGGGGAAAAAAAAGGCAATTTCTCAAGAAAGAGCAGAAATTGATTTAGGAGTAATAATTTACATAGTTAGTGGCAAGCCACTGGGTGAAGTTCATTTATTGTTTTATTATTATTATTATTATTATTCTTTCCAAAATGAATAGTTGTGTCCACAGTGAGTCATTTTGAGATGTGTTCGTTGCTCAACAGCAGACAGATGGAGGAAGTCAAACCATTTTTGGTTCAATTGTTTTTATATTAAAAGCTGATTAAAGAGAAAAACATTAACTGCAAAGAACGTATATTTATATGGAATATTTCAACTCAGACAATAAAATGTGATAGCTATGTGCCCCAATTAGTACTGCAGTGGAATGTCATGTTCTGATGTCTGAGCGTTATATATGATTGCATTGTGACCGCAATAAAACTGTAAATCCAGAAGTAAAGAGTTTCACATCAGTGTGAATAACCCACCCCCCTAAAAGCTGTCAAACTACTGCTGCCACATCCTCTCCTCACTTACCTTTTAATATCATCCACATGGATCTATGTCTTAGCGTAAAAGGAAGCAGAAATGTACTCATTTCAATGCAACAACAGCTGATAATCATGAGAAAATGTATGGTGACGTATTGATGATAATTCAGACAGGAACTAATGAAGCAAATGCAAATATATAGACGCTACTCTTATGCCCACGCCAGCAGTCCGATCCAACACCACGAATAGCAAGAACAGTTGAATCAACACCTCTCTTATGGCCTATATAAATGTAAACATCACAGTTTTAGATATTGTTAGCATTATATTCAAACTGAACAGATTGTTGTATGTAATTGTTTTCTGGTCACTCAGACTGACCAGAAAACTGACTGTGAAGAAATTACTGCTGCAGCCACAAATACCATGTTTTTCTTTCTTTCTTTTTAACATTTGCAGCTAAACATTTGTTTCTGTGTGCTTATAACGTTGAAAGGGTTTTGATATTCGGTAACTTCAGTTTTTGTTTTGGATCATGTGCATCAGTGTGTTTCTGGGGCTAACATCGGGTTTAGGCATGGATTGCTAAACTTGAGTGGTTTCATTGTCTAAATACATTTTTGTTTTATTTCAGAAAAATCACCTCCGTGGTCCGAAGAAGAATGCAAGAACTTTGAACACGCTCTACAGATGTATGACAAGAATTTTCATCTCATACAGAAACACAAAGTGAGTCTTACTGCATGACTTCTTACACGAGCATAAAAGATAAACAAAGTGTACATAAAACTAGAAGTTTCTTATCTCTCCTTTGTTTTTTTCCCCCCCGTCTCTCAGGTCACAACACGAACAGTAGCAGAATGTGTGGCGTTTTATTACATGTGGAAGAAGTCGGAGCGCTTTGACTTCTTTGTGCAGCAGAATCGGTTTGGGAAGAAAAAGTACAGCAGCTATCCTGGTGTAACGTAAGTGGCAGAAAAATGTGCAGCAGATCTGTTGGCATTTGTTGGTGTTTTGGCTGATGCTTTAATACAGGAGTCTCTAACTCGACTTACCCAGGGGGGCCACTGGAGGTAGAGTCTGGGCTAGGAAGGGCCGCATCAAGTATTCCACAGAAATAGGGTTTCAAGTATTCAAACAAAAGTACAACTGATCCAATCTTCTCAATCTTTATTAATAATGATTCTGAACATGAAAAGTTCTTCAGAACATAGGCTTCTCTTACCTACTCCTTGGCAACACTTCCTCTTACACAACTGAGCCACATTTGGCTTGAGGGAGGAAGCAACCGAGACCCTCAGTGTGGCTTGAAGGTGCTCATCAGTAGGTTTGTTCCTGTACTTTCCTTATGAAAGTTCATGGTGGAGAAGAGCTTCTCACACAGACAGGAAAAAGCAAAAAAACATGCATTTGCACTGGGTGACAGGATATATTTTCCCTCCACTCAGTGACACTCTCGAATGACGTTTCAAGTGACTAACGTTGCTAATTCGCATTGCTGTCACGAGCCTAAGCTATGGTAGCCCACAAGTGATAAAAAAATATAAAACGCCCAGGGCAACGAGTCGCGTAGTTGCGTGTGAGAAAAATGCCGCACTAACACTAAACTTTGATGTCATCCCTCGGGCCTCGATTGGCCTGCAGGCCGTGAGTTTGAGACCCCTGCTTTCACACATTGTCCCATTAGAAAGTGTGCATAATTCGGGAGAAACCAACCCACTGACATGTCTGCTTGTGTGCAGTGACCTGATGGACAGGCTGGTGGATGAAGCAGAGGGCCTAGCGGTGGACAGCTCCTCCTCTGTGTGTTCAGGAGCTGGTGGAGGAGGACGGCTGGAGACCACCACAGAACAGCAGCTCAGCCTGCTGAACTCCATCACTGCCAGCGACCTCACAGGTTAGTAATGGAAGGACCTCAGTGATGGAACAACCTATAGATTGAGTATCAAGTATCTCATGTCACATTGTGGTCATCCCCCTCCCCCCTATACAAGCTGTTTGTTGACGTCTGTCTCTGTTCAGTGTTAACTCAGTGTCCGATCTCCTTGCAGCTTTGAGCAACAGTGTAGCGACAGTATGCAGCCCCGCAGAGGTTAGTTGTCTGGACTCCTACAGTTTTCCTCCACTGGACGGTCTCCATCGCGGCTCCCTGAACCACGACGAATCCCTTGGGTTCCCCTCTAACGGCGCTGACCCTGACTGCCTCAACATGCTCGACGCCGGCTTCTACCACTCAGACCTGGGCCAGCTAGGAGGCGTGTGCGTCAACAAGGACTGCGAGCGGCCCTCCAAGAGACTCAAGATGGCGCTGCCTGACTCCTTTATCAATGACGTGTCCGTGGGTAACCTCGGGGTGGACTTCGAAGCGCGACGGACAACGACGCATCACCACCGAATCACTGGCGCCAAAATGGCGGTGTCTGTCACAGACTTTGGGAGCTTGGCTGGCAGCGGCGAGCCCAACGGGTTTCTGGGAGCACACGCACGGCACCACACACAGCACACTGCAGCACTTCAGTCAGAGTGATCTTCCTCAGTTTCCTTCCCTGTTCTTCCCTTTGGAAACCCCTTTTCCTGATTGTACATAAGACTGACCTCACTGGAAAATCCAATTTGTTTAAATTCTATTATATATATATATATATATCTATATATATGTATATGAATATACTTTTTGTTTTCATTTTTTGTGTAATATGACATCAGTGATGTCTATCATATAGAACTAAAATCTTGATTTCTCTCAAGAGTTTATATAGCCATTTATTTTATTTTCGTTTCGCGGTCTTGAGATGTGTAACGTCCATGTACAGTTGGGCCCAGAGGCTGCAGTAGGAGAGTTGTGTATCTTCCTCCCTCACATCTACACACAACATCTTCAGAGCTACAGTATGTTATCCTGCCATTCTTTTCAGCTGCCAAAATGAGTTCAGCCTCTAGTGTTATCATGTAGTTACCCCTCTTTGTTGTTTGAAGTGGTACTTTTCTTTTCTTTTTTTTTTTTTTAAATAGTGTTTGGTTTACAGGTACTTTTCAGTAACCAGACCGGTGCAGGTGGTTTTTAATTTATCCCAAACATACCTGGGTACACGTCGTACGAAGAGCAACACTAGCACGGAGATTAGCTTGGAGACCAGGAAGTGCTGTGGCTTTAGCTGCTAACGCCCTCCCATTTGGTTTTGATTCTTCTCCTGTGGAAGCTTGTTTATAGTTTGCCTGCTTGTTTACTGTTGTTCAAAGTGGCCAAACTGGAACACGTGAATGTTTGCAGTAATTTATTTTTATCTTTTTTTATTTTTTAATCCCAGGTAGTCCAACCTAAATCCCAGGCCTCGATTCATGGTTATCCTATTACCTTGTCAAACAGGCGATGACGAATACCTGTGCAGAGTAACTTAATAGGAGTACTTTTGTTTCACTGCTGGATTTAAACTCTTTTTTTTCAAATCCTGCCTCTTTTTCGGAGGATATCAGCAAACCATAGCAGCAATATCGCAATGCAAAGATTCCTGGTTGGGTTAATAGCCATTGAAACATAGACACAGGAAAATGTTTTATCTCTTGCTTCTACTTTCTCATTTATTCCTGCTTTCACTCATTGGAAAGTTTATATCTGTCCTAGTTATGGCAACAAAAAAGAAAATCGTTCCTAAATGAAGTAGCGCCATTTCCAGACCACTTGCGAGCTTGGGTAAACCTGCTAGCAGTATTACGTTTTATTTAAAGCCTCTCTGATTTTCTTTGTTTTTCGTATTAAACCTCTGCTTAGCCTGTACTGACTAGAGATGCCTTTTGAAATCTTGGGTCGACAAATTTCTTTTTGAGTCTCGTAGCAGAAATGGAGCCGTTGTCGCTCGACTGAAGTCCATAAATTGTGAATTGTAAAAATGTTTAGCGGGTCAATGTCAGTTGATTGGATGCAGTAGTAGTGTTTACTTAATTTATCTATGCATTGTGCTATGAGTATTTAGTTTGTTTCAGGGGTACACCGTGTCTGTCATGTCCATAGAGCTAGTGTTGTTTTTTTGTTTTTTTTTCCCACCATCATGTGTGTACAGACGGGATTCATGCTTCTTAACCATCATCAAGTTTTGAGTAGTTCCGTTTCTAAAGCCCAGCGTCAGAGAGGATATTCACATCTGCGTTTCATGTAAATAATTAGCAAATAGCCTTTAAAAAGTCTATTACTGACCTCTTACACTTGTGAATCTGTGTTGATACAAAGGTTTTAATTCAATTCCTTGTCAGAAAGGCAATAATTTGTAGATATGTACAGATATTTTGGGTTTTTGCATTTTACCGGTTGGTGTTTTAGTTTCTTTTTGTTTTTTTTTTCTCTCTCTCTCTTTGGAAAAGTCATGATACCCATGATAACACCAGGACACAGCTGAAACCACGCATGCCAGCTGCGCCTGTTTCTCAAGTGTACCACTGAAAACGGCTTTACCTGAAGACGTATTGATATTAACTCAAATGTTGCAATTTTTTTTTTTGAAACTTGCAGCCATGTGTAAAAGACACTCATCTTTCTTTCCTTAAAAAAAACAAACTTTTTACATGTCGTCTGTTTGTCTCGATGGTAAAGGGATGGCTGCTGCTCTAAGTATGTGGAGAGCGACGTTTCTCTTTTTAATGCAATGTGCATAATGCAGTAGGTCCTCCAAGCTCTTCTAGCTTTAGCAGTGCAGTGATATTTATTTCACCTGTGGTTTGTACAAAGACTCAGAAAAACTGTCAGAATGTAAAGGCCATTAAGTAGTAGAAGTAGGTTTTTCACCACCCTGTGAACTCTCGAAAATGTGATATTTTATTGATATCTCTGGTATGAGACTTGTGTGTGCGAGCAAGCACTAAACAAATTTATTTTATATTTTGTATTGTGTTTTGAAGTTTAAAAAGGAGAAAAGAAAAAAAAACATAGCAGTTGTGGTTTTGAAAAAGAAAACTCGAGTCCTTTGGATGAAAAACAAAACAAAAAAAAAACACCTTTGTGAATAAAAAAAAAACCTACAAAACTTAAAAATGTATATCCAGAAATATAGACAATCAAAAACTTCACTATGAGAAATGTTCAAGAAGCTATCTTTATCTTTGTTTATAAGAATTGTACATAAACATTGAGTTGTTTTTTTTTGTTTTTGTTTTTTTTTTCTTTTGTTAAACATTATTTTGTATTTTCTGTTGTACTTTAATACCTTGTGTACAGATCCAGAAATAAAGCTCTGGAAAAGGTTCGGAGATGATCGCACGTTCTTTTAACGTTACATGAAAGATGTTTTTGGTGTTGAGTTACAGTCTTTATTAGCATTACAAAATGAGAAAAAAGCAATTACATTTATCACATGATCATTTCTACACTTTCAATCAAAGCATCAATAGGAGTAAAATTTAGCAACATGATATAAAAACCCTTCCTGGTGTCGAAAACGGTTACAGACAAAATAATCTCAAGTCAAAGTCCACAAACTTGGTTGTTTTGGGGCGTCCTGGTCTGTTTGTCGGGTCTCTACAGCACCTGTTTGACTGTCTTGAAAGTTAATTCGAAGCCAACATGCATCAGAAGCCATATGAAGTGCTTATCGTACAGCTGAGCTCATGGTGGTGAAAAGCCCCAGAACGAGCGAATAAGTGGACCTGGAGCAGCTCAAACTGGAAAAACCTACTTTCATCTGCATCAGTAAAATCACATAATTAGAAAAACATCAACATTTGCTCAGTTTACACAGAGCTGTTCCGTATTCAACCGGATTCACCACCAGCATTCTAAAAACGACTACCTTGGTCTTCTGAGAGGAATGGGTAGAATCAGAAAGTCCTCAGCCAGTGTCACTTCCACACCAGTGTCCTGCAGAGCTTCCTCAGCTTGTCTCTGGAGCTCTGAAACGCCGTCCTCGTCTCCCTCCTTGTGCAGGGAGCTCGGTTTGTACCGCTGGCTGAAGTGATACAGCACGAGCCTCTGCGCGCAGCAGGCCCGGGCCACCGCCGCCGCCATCCCGGGCGTGCTGTGTCCGTGGTCCACCGCTTTCTCCTGGTGCTCGTTCGCGAGGGTGGCCTCGTGAACCAGAACATCCGCTCCGCTGCACAGCCTCAGCGGTCCTTCCCCCAGCACCGAGCTGCAGTCCCCTAAAACGCACACTTTCCTGCCTGGTGTAGCTTCTTCCAGCACCTCTTCAGGCAGCACCACACGGCCGCTTTCCAGAGTAACTGACTCCCCAGCTTTGAGACGGCCGTAGAGAGACCCTGGTTTCAGACCTGAGGGACAAAAGGAAACCGGTTACTGGAAACCACACGTTTTATTTAAAGGTAACGTTTTCTAAAATAAGTGTTAACAAACCTCTAAATAATTCATCGATAGAATCTGAATTAATCAGATGTTCACTGTTAGACAGGAAATGCCAAACATGAGCCATTTTTATACTATTATCTTTAATCCTTTGTTAATTTTTTCTCAATTTAACATTTATTTTTAATGGTTTCAGTGCTAAAACTTCCAGCCTATCCTGTGATTAAAAACAGAATCATCTGCTCCTCATTTCAGGTGTTATGGATTTCACTGGATTAATAAAACTGTCAGTGCTTGATTACTGGAATAAGGACACTGAACAGGTATGATTTTCATTTCCTCATGATGGTCCAAATTAATAAAAAAAAAGAAATATACAAAAAAGACAGAGGGTACTTTGTACCTAGTTCCTTCAGTACTTCAGTTTTCAGTCTTCCAGGTCGATCACGCTCCTGAATGCAAAAACCAAAGGACGGGATGCGGTGAAACAACCTGAAGGCTTTGACCACAAACTTCTTGTCTTCAAAGAGGAGATAAGAGTCACTGGAGACGTCCAGGGAGATGGTCCTGCCCGGCTGCTCCTGAGGATGGAGAGGGCCGGTCTCTGCTGTCGCCTAATCAGAGAGAGAGAGAGAGAGGACAATGTATGGAAAGTGACAGAACTCTGGAAATGAGAAAATATTTTCGGACAAAGCAGTGACATTTGAACAACAAAAAAAAAAAACGCTTGATTTGGGCTGCAAGGTAGGTGGGTGGATGGATGGATGGATGGATGGATGGATGGATGGATGGATGGATGGATGGATGGATGGATGCCTTTGCAATATGGGTTAAAATTGGGTAAAATCAGAACCCACACTGGTCGGGACTTCATTTCTGTGCTTTACCAAAACATCAAACCAGCAGCATCTTTTATAAGGGAATCATGAAGAATTGTTTGTTCATGATTATTACATGTCTGACTTTAACAATAACAACAACTGACAACAGTTCAGGTTTGATCTTTTACTACACAGAAAACCTCCACTACCTACCTCCTGGCTGAGCTGTCCCTCCTCTGGACTCTGGTCAGCTGTGGGCTCCAGCTCATGTACTACAGAGACACACGGGATACAGTTCAGAGGAGCGCATTGGAATGAATCCAAAAGTTCTTCTAACTAGTTCTCTGCGATAAACCCTACAGCAGACAGCTGAAGAACCGGCACATGAAACACACTGTCCGCTGTGTCTGTGCTAAAACTCTTCAATCGTGGGGTTTCAAACATGCAGTTGAATGCAGACATTAGAACTCATGCTGTACATTTTGGACCTGCCTGCGTAAGGGAAGACCAGCTGTGACCCCGTGAGGCCAAGTGTCACCCTGAGAAAGTGCCGGAGGCCCCGGGGCCCGTAGATGTCCACACAGTTCAGGCTCTGCAGAGGGTCCGAGTTGGTGTTAAGACTCACGGTGCAAAGGAGACCAGGCAAACCGAACAAGTGATCTCCGTGCAAATGGGAGATGAAAACCTTGGTGATTCGACCTGCATAGAAAACACAACATGATATTATAGACGAGGTTTTATGCCATGTGTATGTGCCACAATGGGAATGTGCAGAGAACAGGGGACAGTTTGTCTAAAAAGTGAGTGATGAAATCTGGGTGAAGTTGAGTGGAAGCAGTAACAGAAGGTTAAAATACTCTACAGACGACAAAAGAGAACTGGAGCACACTGGTGAATTCCCAGACAGACGTTCCAACAACACTGTGTCTGATTCATCAGAGACAAAGTCGACAAAGACATGTTGAAAACAGAGCCAACCTGTATCTGGTCTACCATTGTCATCTGACAGCTGGTTGAGCAGGTTTTTAAATCTATTTGATCCAAGGCTAGGAGATGCAATAGTTGATGTCTAAGTGCTAAACCCCTGACCCCATGTGAGAAAAACAGAAGGACACACGTCTCTTAAAGTTACAGAGATTAAAGTACATAAAGCACAAAGATTTGTCAAGTGTGACAGCTAAGAGGGGACATGACACACGAAGCAATTTATTATTTTTAGAGGGCGAATGTCACGTCAAAATCAAAACAAAATCACAGACTGCTCCTAAAGTTACAAGGACAAAAGTAGACAAGTGCACATATCTGTCAAGTACAACAAACTGAAGGAAACACAACAGTTTATGCACTTATGCCAAAGTGATCTACTTTGTTAAAAGTGTGACCACAGGGACTTTTCAACAGATACTGTAGAGATTATGTGTAGTTAATGAATTTAATGGAGTGTCTGTTGCCAATCTGTCACTCCTGGATTGTGATGGTTGATGGCAGTTAAAAAAAAAAAAAAAGATCAGGATGCAGAAATCACAGAAAAGGTAAATTAATTTTGAAATGTCAGTGTACAAATAAAGTTGTAACATGTACGTGCTTGTGAATATGTATAAAGTAAATTCTAAAAATTAAGTGAGCCTTTGATTTGGAAAGAAGACAAAGTGACATGAACAGTTCAACAGTTGGTTTGTTTGCTCTCTTAGCAGCATTTGAAGGTGAGACAAACTATGAGAGTAGCTTCAGTGACTCGCCGGCTCTCAGCTGGCTCTTCATCAGCTGGGTCTGGGTTCCTTCTCCGCAGTCAAACAGCCAACATTCTCCGTCCGTGCGCAGAACCAGAGCCGAGGCCCCGCGGTGAGGAGACGGGTAAGCCGAGCCGGTTCCGAGGAAAGTCATGTCCATGGTCATCCTCCCAATGTTACAGAAAAAAACTGGCAAACGCCGTCTACAACCAGATATCACGATGCAACGAGCGTGTCATGCGCCATGTAAACACTGTCGCACGCTGATGACGTAGGACGGAGCGACGGCGCG